GTATAAGTAGAAGAGGCAACAATTTGCCTGAATAAAAGTTTATTTATGCACCGAGGGTGTCATGCCCAAATCAACCGTCACATTTTCTAAGCAATAAATCTTCTTCGGTTTCTTATGGATCAAATTCAGCTCTAGAAACGATACTTTCTGTGACGTTGAATTATTTGAGGATTCCACAAGATCCAGTATTTCAGGGCAAATACCAACTCGTTTAAATCTTTATTTAAAAGCGAAGCGCATCAAAGGAGGTTTTGCTATACCTTACAAATTAAGTCGCCCATGTTGATCGTGGGTACAAAAGAAATAATAGAAACTCCCTTCAACCTCAACGTTCCAATGTTTATTTTTGATGAGGGGTGTGTTTATAAATCAGCAAAAGTCCGTATTTACATGGTTAAAATGGTGCAAGAGCTAAGCTTACGTAGGGCGAGAGATGTGACCTACCATGCCACTGACAAGGCCTTGGCATTTCGGCTGAGAAGAAGACTATTCTCGTGGCTGTTTTGTCCTCTTCCCGCCTGTCTGAAAGCTCTTCCCGTCCTGCCCGAGAGGACTGGAACAGAGGTAGCATCTTGTCCGGCCTGCATTCTCAACAGAGAGGCGCCGCAGGTCGCTTTTGAGTTGACATTGGAGTTGACGTTAACATTGGCGTTGGCCGCTACTGCTACTGTGGCTGCGGTCACGACGGCGGCCAACAGGCGCTCAGGGTTCGGCTCCACAATTGGGTTGCCGGCACTCTGAAGTAGGCTGTTGCTGATGTCCTCAGCCTGACGATCGTTACAGTCCATCGAGATCAGCTCATCTTCGCGCAATTCCTCGACTCCTAGGGCCCCAGTGCCGGGGCCGGGCATTCCGGCAACGTCGTCACAGACGGCCAAAGACGAGGTGGACGCCGCGAGGCCAGACGAAGAGAGAGCATGGCCAGGCCTACTGGCAGCTCTGACCTCGGCGAGGCTGTGGTCACCACGAGCTAAGAGCCTTTCCGGCCCCGAGTCAACGGCCTGAACACGAAACCGAGTTGCATTCAGCCTCGTTCCTGGCGCCGGAAGCGACTGCTCCGGACAGCCGAGACTGGCGTCGCTTCTGTTGTGCTTCAGACAGATCAGGCCCTCGTTCATTTGGTTGGACAGAAGATGACCTGCTTCCAATTGTTGTCCGGTGGGAAATTTATCCGGAGAATTGTCTGTACCGCCAGTCTGGTGGGCGTAGCGACTTTTCTGGCGCTTCAGACTGACCCGATGGACGCGTTCCATGTGGCGCTCGCGGTTCGATTTGGTCGAGAAGGACTTGGTGCAACGAGTGCACGAGAATGGCTTGTGGGCTGTCAGGGAGAAAAGGAAAAACAAAGGATAGGATCAGTCAATCCGGCCACACTCTGGCCTGGAACCCTTCAGCCGCAAATTCAGCGAGGCTCTCACCGGAATGAATTGGAACTTTGATGGAGCCTTATCCCTGAAGCGATGACTTTGACGGCTGTTCGTTTGCCCTCACAACTACAGAAAGACATTCGACTTTTGGTGTTACGAAGAGACCCGGGGCGAACTCAAGTCAGTCTCCGTATCGTATTCACATCTAGTCATATTAGACTTTATTGTTGGAAATAATCTTTTTTTGTGGCTGTTACGAGGCTGTAGTCGAGACGCAGATACTAGTTGCTGAATTTGGATAAATCTCTTGAGATAACATAATGGTGTTAAGGCTTTTACTTCCAAGCAAAAACATGCTTAAGGAACTGGTAAGTCGTTCTCACCGAAGGACAACGGCCGATCCTTATCGTCCTTCAGCCTTTTGCCTTGACGCAGTGCACATGACATCCTTTCTTATTTCGAATGAAAACAGGCTGAGCTTTCGTCGATCATAGCATTCAAGAGATAGTAAGAACTGAAAATCATTCTTGCATAAGCGTCAAGTTAATGGACAGTCAAGTAGACTAACCGACTCTAGCCTGTCTGCTATGTGTACTCATAACTAAAAACATGTAGTCTAATGACCTGACTTACACGCATACAGACCGATATCTCATCATCTCATAAGAGTTACTGACGCGCTTACGCGAGCCCAGACATGCTTTTTCCTGGGTCATTAGGCCTTGATGACCCGGGAAGGATGTTTGGCTCTTTTTAAAGTGCTCTACATTATGAAATGTATAGCGTACAGACGTACAGACGCATGCTTATACAGGCCTGCACACACTCACAGGCAGGCACACTGGGGTATAAGTAACATGATTAATAATAAAGAGAACCAACCAAGTCATTCTATACATTTTCGTATAAGTTATGAGTACGTATAACATTTCTGACAGCTGGATAGTCGTCTTGACTTTGTGTTAACGTGAAGGATTTACGAGAATGACTTTCAGCGCTAGTGAGATCCGTTATGTGACATGACGTGCGATAGCCTGGCGTGGTTTGACTTGAGACGAGCAAGGATATCTCGTGGACTGTTTCAATCATAAGGTCGTTTTAAAGTCAAATGGCCGCAGAAGAGGAATGCGCAACCGTCTTAAGTGAGATAAACCAAAGAAACTTTGCATAATGCACTTTCATACGAAATGAAAATCTCTACAACAATGTAGTCGAGGTGTCACGTTCGACGGGTTCTTGTGTTCCACCGATTTTGAGGCTGGCCACGATAAATTGAGGCTCTTCGACATTCCAAAGGAGTGATATTCTCTCCGGCCTGGGCTACAGTTTTGACGTCGCTTCAACGTGGTCACCAGCATTCCCGGCGCAATTGGAGCCGCAGATGAGGCAAGCCAGTTTGGCGCAGAGTCTAACGTGTTCGCATGTCAATCCTCACCTTCAGGACTCCACTCATCCTCGGGGGGCCAATGAGTCAATGTTAAGAGGTCGAAGCTGCAATCAAGTAAGGAAGAGGACAGTGTTTAGGGAGCAGAGACAAAGTGAAGGGTTGATGCACTCATGTCTTCTCTTCAGCTCATCCAAGGAAAAGTAGTGGCAACAGACCCAATGAAATCCAGTCTAAACTGGTGCTAATCCCTCTCAATTATTCCCTCCAAATTCGATTTGACACCTGGGAGGCGGCAATTCAAAAGTCCATTTACATTAAGGAGAGCTGGACTTTGACGAATTCCGCGACGACTTTGCTGTTCGAGGCAAAAGTTGGCCAGAGGAATTCATGCTAAGTTTTCGGTGTGCAATTCAAGCAGCACTCGTCCACAGCAGACCGGCTTCGGTCTCCGACGAGACGACTACACATTTCTCCCAGCCGACTGTTACTTCGAGATGAAAAGCCTGGTGGCACTGAAAGCACCACTCTGGCTGCGCCAACCCCAGCTCTGTGCTGATCTGTCAGGTGGTACTGGAAACGACACTTCTTTCTTCTGATGGCGTCGCTGGGACGCGACTTGCCAAATATACTAGCTTCACTCTACTTGTCAGTTCGATAAAGAACTTGGCCAAAAAAACATTCGTGAAATGGCTACATCGCATATCGAGGGAGGAGCACCTTCAAGTGGAGACTGTCAGATTTGGTGAACCAGCCCTCGATTCAGCGTGCTCAGCTTTCGGCTGTTGCGTCGTCAAAGCGAGGAAGTGTCGTGTGCAAAAAAACGCACCAAATATACAAATCCCACAACGCACTAACCAGGCAAAATCATTCTCATTTCTGATACCTAATTTTGTCACCACATTCAAACATCTCATGATTTGGTTGATCACTTAATGCGTACCCACATCAGAGAATGTCTCTTTAGGATGGCAGAATTTTTCGTGAATTGTGCGTTCTAGCTTCGACGATATCTCCACCGTTACTTCAGTTCCTCAACAAACTCCAGTGAGGCTAAACCAAGCCATCTATTACAACCAACCTTTGCTCTAAAATCAAAATTCGTATAACATCTGATCAGGTATGCGGCCCGCCTCATGACCACCGAGCCAACGGTGGGTCTCGCATCGGGCAATCTTTGTGGTCTTATTCGTCCTGGAGTCGAGCGGAGTGTATATAAAGAGAAACAGCGCTATTGTTCCACTTTACAAGTCAACCCGGTCCAGACGTAAACGGTAAAAGAGTGCTTCGGATCGAGTTCTGTTTGCATTACGTTATCAATAAAACGAAACAAGGTGAATATTTTGGCGAATTTCAAGGTCCGAAAAGAGAGCAGTGACCATCGAGAGCAGATTGACTGGCTGGAAAGTTGAGCACGTAAAAGACAAGAGAAAATAGGGACACAGATTCTGCTCACGTGTGTGTGTAAGTATATGTCGCTTCAGAGAGCTGTTCCATGGAAACTTCTGATTACAGCCAGAGATAGGACAAGTGATCAGCTTAGGAGCGTCCTTGTACGAGTTCTTCTTGCGCAGCGGAGGCGGCAATCGGGGCATTCGCGTGCCAGCAGCCGCGGCTGAGGCCGCTGCTCCCGAAAGAGGTGCCCTTGCATGGCAACCAAGCATTAGGTCGGCTGACGACGGGGCGTTGATGAAGGCGGCCGCAGCAGCTACGGCCAGTGCAGCCAGATTGCCAGGGACGCCGGGTGGCTTGGCCGAGGCGACTCCGGCAGCCGACCGCCGACCTCTTTCGGAGACTGTCTGCGATTGTGGACGCCTGGCGTCATGGGAGGACAAGGGCAAAAACATGGCCTCTCGACCCGACGTCACGTGGCAGCCTGGTGGACTCGGCCTGTCAACTGAGACGAGACTGACGGTACTCGCTCTTGCCTCTGCCGTCGATGAGCGGGTCTGAGCCGAGCTCGAGGTCGAGGTCGAGGTTGAGGTCGATGCCAATTGGGCTGGGCATGGCAGAAGAGGTGGCAGATGATTCGGGTCGACCGGCGAAGAAATGGACACCGGCTGGGCGTCAATCTCAGTGAAGCGGCCCAGTTGAGTGCCGAGTCGTGGCGACCATCCGGCCGCCAGTTGGCCGAAGGTGAACAGCGGATGCACACACGTCGCTGCCCCGGCCGGAGGCAAGAGGAGCGAGTGTGGTCGCCCGATCTGGGACGGGGGTCGTGCCATTAGGTCGAGGGGAGCAGTGACGCCGAAACAGGCCTTGCCGGTTGTCGTCACGACAGCCTGAGAGCAGGACAAGGCGGGGTCGTTCGTGCCCAAGGCGGATAAGAGTGAGGAAAAGGAAGAATAAGAGGCAGAGGAGGAAGAGGAAGAGGAAGAAGAAGATGAGGGAGAGGCGGAGGAGGACGCAATGCTGCAAGAGGCAGCCGCAGCTGCGGATGCGGCTGCGGCGCTCAGCCAGGCCGTGAGGCCGTTCGAAAGACTGACACGATCGGGCAGAGGAGGGCAGTGCAAAGGGAAGCCACTGGGCAGGCCCGTGGGCGCGAAGGCGGGCTGCAAGAGGGGCATCTTCTCGTCCGCCGTTCCGGCCGCCGAGTGACCGCCGTGAAGGGAGAGATCTAGCGCCATCTCCTCGCTTCTGCTGCCACCCCTCGGGCCTGCCTGATTGCTAGCCGACGCAGAGGCAACTGTCGGCCCAGCCAAATAGGACGTCAGGACATCGGCAGCGAAATCGGCTGCACCGGAGTACAGGCTATCGGTGGACTCGGTGAACGGATCCCGCTTCTCAGGCAGCCGCAAATCCAGGTATCCCTTAAGGCCGGAGACCGACTGTTCTCGCGAAAATACAGAATTCTTATTCTCCGTGTGAACCGCATCACAAACGGACGGCGTAAAACCTCCTCCTCGACTCATAGACCCGTGATCCCGACCCAAGGCCATCATGTGACGGCGCTCAAAGGCAAGCAGACATACTCGCCGGGCCCGAAGAGTAAGGATCGAGCATCTTTGTAGGCTGGACGAGGCAACAGCACCAACCTTGCCCGATAAAACACGGACAGGTCTCTTCCGAAGATACTGAAGCTGAGGCAAGTCAGCCGGCACAAGGGATGGATGAGAAGACCTGGAGAAAGCAAGCAAGAAGCAGGCGATAGATAAGAAAGAATTCCGCTCGACGAATGCTCAAGGACGAGATAGAAATTCGGGAAAATATGTAAAAACGACGTGAATCATGCTTACTTGTAGTGTGAATAAAGGCGGCCTGAAGTCCAGAATTCGCTTCGGCAACTTGAGCAGCGGAATGGCAGATGAACGACGGTAAAGTATCCAGGGCCCATCATTCTCTTCCCCTTACGCCTATCTACAATGTTTAAAGTATCCAAGCGTAAGCATCAAATTTAGAATGGTCGAAGAAAATAAGAGCGCCTATGAATATGATCAACAAAAGCAAAATAAGATTCTTTGAAATAATTCTCAAGTATGTGGCATAAGCCAATAAGGCGCCATTTTTGATAAATGCACAGAGACTAGTAGCCAGAAAGTGCGCTTAAAGATACGTTTAAGGCATGTGTGGCAGTTAAACTAAATTGCAAAATTGAGCCTTCGGTCGGTTTCCTTGTGGAAAGCTTAAGTTCCCTTGACTACAACAGCCAACTATTTGACTTAGCGAACAAACTACTCATGTAATTTAAGTAAGGGCAGACTGGATAAAAGGTTATGAGCATAGTTAATATAAGAAATTAGATTTGAGTTATGTAATAAATTAACTTGAACGGTAACCAAAAGATCACACTAACATGTTTCCTTGTTTTTATGAGTCCACAGACGAACGTTCCTTCTGATTCTCCGTCTAACAAGACGTTGTGAATACTGGACACGCATGAAGTTCGCCTAAAGACAGAAATTTTGATAACTAATTGTATTGATACAAAAAATAAAATAGATGTATTTCAAATATAACAAATGTTGTTTTAAAAGATAAAAAAATGCTGACAAATTCAAGTCCACTTAGTCCAGAGCCTTGGGATGGCGAATGTCTAAAAGTTATGAGATCTGTCGAAAGCACCCGGTCACATGTTGAACATGGCTAATTTTTGAATCGAGAACGGCTCTTTTTTGGACAAGTGAGAGCGGTAAAAATGTAAGCAGGAACCCAGTTCACAGGGAGCGCTAGAGCTCTGCCACGCAGGATGGCAGAGAAACTACCTGCTATCTCAAGGACCAGCTTTACTTGAAGTGGCACAATAGCAAACATCGTGGCATCCCTTTCCATTTCAAAGGAATTCGTAAAATGGTCACACCGGAAACCGAGGGAGGAGTGCTGCTAAGTGAATACTGTTTAATTTTAGGGAAAAGTCCTTGGCCCACTATCCTGTGACAGCGATGAACCTGTGCCAATCCTTCGTCTGTACTATGGCATCAGAGTAAGAATCGATACTTTACAAAGTGGCGCAAAAAATATTAAACTAAGAGAAAGTTTTAAGTGTATTTTGTGCCCTACTTTGTAAAGCATGGATTCTTGCTCTGATGATGTCTGTCATAGTACAGACAAAGACTTATTACATATTCATCGATGTTGCATTGATGTGAGCCCAGAACTTTTTCCTACAATCCAGTGGCCTTATTACGCGGCTATCCTCTCTCGGTTTCCGGTAGCACTATTTCATGAGTTCCTTCGAAATGGGAAGTCATGTCACAATAAATCACTAAGAAATTCTTCAAAACTAAGTGTTTCGTCATAACAATAACAAATCATTTTTGTTAAAAGCATACATAATGACAACATTGCTGGCAGATGGTGGTATTAAAAATAATTGCTAATATGAATCAATGTGGGTCATAGAGCCGGATCGCTGTGGCCCCAATAAAAGGAAATTGCACTTACACATGTAAACGAGGTAAAATGATCTGTCCTTTTCCTTTACTTTCCGCTAGGCGTTTATGAATGGCTTGGTCTGGAATACTTTCCCCATCCGGATTGTGGATGGATACCGAGCCTAGGCATCAGTCATAAAACTTCTCTGGCAACTGGAACATTTGCCACGGTGATAGTAGGATAAGTAATAGCCCCACATGTAGACAAAGAATAGGCTAAAGACCTAGTAAAGGAACTTACTTTGATAGCTTTTCTGTATGAACTCGCTGGACTTCGATCACAGTCGTTAGGCCAGTACGTTTTGACTGGCAGTTGTTGTCCTGGCAACGAAAGACCCTGACCACCAGACTCTCCTATGCCAGAGATTCCGGTGCTGGGGTCCAGTTTCAGTTTTATTGCGGGCCTTGCGACGATGACGGCGGGCTCGTAGGCAGCCGAAGCCATTGCGGTTTCAGTCAGGCTAGAGGGGAAGACAGTGAACTCGGGCCGCATGGTTGCCAGGTTGAAGCTTTGGTCTGGTGGTGAGTGGTGGGAAGAGGATATTTTGACTTGCGCCACATTTCTGGGTGTAGGGATGTCGACTTGAGGAGGCGTCAGGGTCGAGGCGAACGGCGCCGAGGTTGTGACAAAAGTCGTGACTGGGTTGGAGTCGAAGTATCTGGGAGGAAGAGGTGAAGATGGGCCTGCTTGTGGGCATGACGAGGTGGGTGGTGAAGACTGCATCAGACCGGCGGAGGTCTCCGGGGGCGCGGCCTGTGCCAGAAGGGCGGCCATCATCAGAGCGTTCCACTCAGCCATCCACGAAGTCGGACTCAAAGGCAGAGCTGGAACCGGGGCCGGGGTGGGGTTCGGGGCTGGGGCCGAGACCAAGCCGGGTGTGGAGGTAATGCCCGGCTCCGCCGAGGAGGCGTTCAGTCTGGCGGACAAGAGGCCGAGGTCGAGTCTCTCAGCGCCTGGTTGGCAGCCGGAGAGGAGGGAGGGGAACTGTGCGAGGGCGGAGTTTTGAAATACGGAATCATACAAGAGGACGACTTCAAGTTTTGCAAGCTCCCTGAAGAATAAGGGTTCTCGTCAATCAACATGTGGGAGAAGTACACAAACACGGGTAGATTTGAGAAAGGAATAAACGTGGAGATGCTCCTGTCCCCTTTAATTTGTAACCCTACAACACTTCACCCCTTGTTTCGGAGATCATCTTGGCAACGACTCCAATTGGCAAGTGAGGGGGCCTGGCAAACTCTTGTGATCTGCCCCACCCCTGTTCGTTCTGGCGGCCATCTTGTCTCCACATCTACCCAAGGCCTCGTTTGACTGTGTCTGGTCGGCCATTTTTGGAACCAACACGAGACTTTGGCGGCCTCTCGAACTGGGTAATCTTCCTCTTCTCTATTCACAAGCCTCGACTGAACAGGCCATTGGCAGGGTCAGAAAACCAAGTTGCCCCGGCGACCAGCTCGCTAATCGCGGTGGGCAGACACTCAACCAAGCCGCCCCGCCTCATCGTGGGCAGGCCCGCACAGACGAAAGGCGTTAGTGCACAAATGAGCAAATGACGGAGGCAGTAGGAGGAGGAAGCGAGAGAGGTGATAGGATCGACGAGAGCGCCTTGGGGTGGCAACAGGTCGCGGCAACCTCGTCTTGAGTCCACCTGAGCCCGATGTCGTCTAGCCTCAATCAGTGCCCCTGTTCTGCTGTTTCATCCGACAAACTCGCGCTCCGTCTGTATGAGGATCCGCGCGGCCTTACAAGTGCCGTGTCGGCCCCGAGAACCGATGACCAAAATCGCAGAAGCATCAACCAGTGGCACCGACAGGCCCGAGAGTGAGGGCAGGTGTGGGCCTCGCGAGGCACCGGCGAAGCGCCCCAGACCTCGTTTGAGGAGCCCAAGCTGGAATGCACCGTGAGCCAACCCGACCCGGCCAGACGCCATCTTACCGGAGCTCAGACGTTTAAACTGAGACGAATCGATCGCTCGCCAACGCACCGAGGCGAGGCTGAACACGTCTCAAGAGTCATTCGGCGTCATTGGCCTCAATCGCGAGTTCGAGCTGTCCTGAGCACGCCTGGCCCAGTCTTCTAAAAGGACTGCAGTTCCGAGCTCGCTTTTTTTTAAAAAAAACCAAGGCCCAACCTGCCTAGAAGGTCATTTCGGCCCAGTTACCCACTGAAACAATCGTGGCAACACAGAGGTACCAGTCTGGGCTGTTCAAGAATCACTGACAATCTCTAAAGGTCCTTTCTCCTACCATCAGGACATTTTTCGTGCACACACGCCTCGTCTTCACCTCTCTGGACCGCAGTCTTCGTCCGAGTTGCTTTTGCGGTTGAGTCTGCATGACGGCGATTAGAGCCAGGGACAAATCATTCAATCATATGAATACATGACAACAGGGGTGGAGGACGAGACAAGAGGTGTATTCTTCCTTGCGGCAACACAACAACAAGGGGCCACACTGTTCAAATGCAAACTTTCCAAACGAAGCTAAAAGTGTCACCAAATTAAACCACCAGGTGGTCGCTTTGAGCCTCTCTTCGCAACTTAGTCGTGCTGTCAAGGCGACCTCGATGTGAACACCTTTCCCAGAACTCTTCATCAGAGTAGTTATGATGATTTCTAGCGTCCGACTATCGAGTCGACGTTTCACTCGGCGATGCGCTTGGCCAGTCTTAGCGCCAAGCCGAAATGAGTCCAAGGGACGAATGAACAGTTGCCAGGTGCAATCGCATAATTTCTAGTGTAAGTGGGTTTATACAACACCGGACTAGCCCCTCCCGATGGGTTATCCCATCCCGGCTGGATTGCACAGGACTGCAGATTCCACCTCGCCTCAGCGTCTCTCATTTGCAGCCATAGCGAGACTCGACACTGGGTCGAGACACACAACCATTGTGGGAAAGTCTAACTATCGGTGCTTCATCACCTTAGACGAAATAGAGCCAGCACAACTCATATATCTGGCTTGTTTACCATTAGAAAAGGCATGAAGTGTCTCAGTAAGCTCGAAAATTTTAGGTTTAAGAAGAAAGAAGGATTTCAGCCGG